ATGACATATGCTTTTAGCCAAAACTTTAATTTAGTCAGATCACTTTATTATTTGGCTTAATAAATAATGACCCTAACACATTTAAATATGTATCATATATATACATGACCCAAAATTTGCTAACATTAACTTCATCCTGAGTATCATTACCAAATAGGTCAACCTATATAAACAACCTTAAGAGACTAAGGAGATCCAAACTCAAGTTGAAGAGTTGATGAACAAAGGATGGGTGCAAGATAGCATGAGTCCATGTTTAAACTAAAAGGTATTTATGTGCAACAGGTATTTTCAGTTTTCTATAAAATGAGAACATGAACAATAAATACAACAAAACACAATTTTGGATATTTTGACAATCAAAGAAATATACAACCCTCAAAACAACCCACTTTTATTAATATAATAATTATAAAATGATTTAACAAAAATGAAAATAAATTAAAATTATTATTATAATATTAAAATAGGTTTGTTTATAAGGGTTATATGTATTTTGGATGTCAAAATATCATTTATGTTATATATATATATATATATATATATATATATATATATATATATATATATATATATATTAAAATGCGTTAATGTCTACAAGACTTGAAGATCTTTCATTTCACCTGGTTGATTTAATAGGTTATTGTATATTGGAAGAAGAGTGCATATTATTTCATTCTACCCATGCAATGAAGACATTTTCTCTCTAAGGAAAATGTTATGCGTGGCTTAACCCAATATACTTTTTACAAATATTTTATTTATCTTAATAATATTTTTATAAACATTATTTGAGCTAATTTATATTATTATGATTTTTTATTATTTTATTTTATATCTATGTTTTTAATATTTTTATGATAAAATTATAGTTGTCAAAATGGACGGTTCAATCCGGTTTAATCTTATTAGTTAAGTAAATAAATGTGATGATCCATCATAACTTATGTTTGTAAAAAGACCATAATTTTTATCTATTTTGACCCTATATTAGGTCAACGAGTTAATGAATCAATTTTTGCGTGATTGAAAATTAAAAAATTTATTAACGTATCTTTATAAAAACAAGTAATTAAAAATGTTTAAATAAAAATTAAAAATATATTTAAAAAATTTAAATTATATTAATAAAATTATTTTTTTAAATATAATGATTTAATATATAAATTATAAGCGAAAATATTCATTTAATCCCAGAATAAGAGTTAAAAATTATTTTTTATTATCATCATTTAACTATTAATCTAAAATAATAATTTGTCTTAATCATTAAGTTAATTTAAAGACTTTCTCTTATATTTACTTATTCTATAAGTGAATTTTTTATAAAATTAATTTACAATATATATTAATAAAATAATTTTATTTAAAAATGTATTATTATTCTATCAAATAGGTTAATGCATAAATAAGTTAATATGAATTATATAAATCATATCTTAAATAAGTAAAAAAAAATGTCTTATTTAATTTAAATTATAAATATTTTAATCTAATTTGACTTATTTTTTAAACCTTTTGGTCAATCTATTGGGTTATGTATATTTTAAAGTCTGATAAAATTTAAACATTGATTAACTTAAGGTCTTTAATAATGTCTAGATATTTATGGGAGGATTAATAAAAAAATTCTTATAAATGATTAAAATATGACACAATTTTTAATAAAAAAATTAATAGTATTATTTTTCAAGAGCGTAAAAAAAACACAACCACTATTATGTCTTCTTGTCTTGGGACACCATGATACGCAATAAATGTGTAGAGTGAGTAATGTAAGTAGATGAACGTTTCATTCTAAACGTTGCTTTCAGGATCAAAAAGCTTGAGTCCAGTGGTGTTACCTAATTCAAAAATGGAATACAAGTAAGTGAGAAGTCTCTTTCATTGCCAAAGCTTTTCCAATGTGCAAAGCTGAAAACAAACAAATACTTGTGTCACCAAATAACAACATACAACAACACCACACACTCCACTGCAAAACCTCTGTCTCTGCTACACACACCCTTCAAAAACTTGAGACAGATTCTAAATTATTTGTTTTCTGTCAATGTTTAATACCTTTTGAATTGGTTCTATCAAAATTGGTACCTCTAAAGTTGGTTCTGAACTGAAAGTTTTGAATTAATTATGTTTACATTTTTTATTTTGACTGAATCAGAACCAAACAAGCGGACTTACTTAGAAGTATCTAACTAAATTATTATGTGTCAACATTGGTAACAACATTATTGATAATAGATACGAAAAGTATAACAAGTATTATTTTCTGTAAAAATGGCACTTTTATTTAATTTAACACACCCATTAAAATTTGAAATAAAGCAGAATAAAATAAATACATAAAAACAAAAAAATTATAGTACGAAAGAGTTAAAGAATTGAAACCTGACAGTGACAGACATTCAGCATGATTCGAGGATCATGGTCTGAATTGATGAGGCCGAGGACAAGCTGAAGAGCCTATAATCAGAATGAGACAAGGTGAAGTCCTTTTCATCTATTTTTATTTCCATAAATATATTTTTTTCTTTGTTTTCATGTTCATGTAAAAGAATGAGCATATTCCATTCCTATGCAGAGGAGTTGTCCTTTTACATTTCACCCACACTTCACCATTCTTGCAACCTCTAAAGTATGGGAATACAAGTAATGATGGAGCTTCGACAAAGGTTAGAAGGTTATGATTTTAATTTTCTTAAATTTAACTATCATTAAAATATTTATAATTTTAATATTTTATATTATTATATTTATTTATTATATATTAAGAATATTTTTTAAAGAAATAGTTTAAATGAATTTATTTTTCATTTTTACAAAATATAAAATATATTTATTCTCTTAAATCAACCCTTTTATTTTAATCATGTTATTAGTTTTTCTTATCTTCATATATCACATTTTTCATCTTATTATTTCCTTTTCCATCAAAAATAAATATTTGTCTCAAACTCAATTTCAGCTTACCACCAGTTAATTTTGTTTGGATAAAATCTGTCTACAACAGTTAGTTAAATTATACATTTAATATATTTTCTAAATATAAATTTAATTAATTTAAATTTAAATTTTATAATATTACTATCGTCGCATCATTTCTTCTCATTATTTTCTTTATAATTTATGTAATTTTTCTTTAATTTTAATTTTCATTTCAAAATTTGTATTATATATTAAAAAAAATCTCATTATAATTTAAAATGTTCGTTGAAATCGTCTTTAATATTACTGATTTTTTTAGAAAAAAAGTTTATATAATAATTATTTTTATACAATTATTATCATATGTTCTACATTTCATGACAATTGTCAATTTATTATTATAAAAAAATGTATTTTTTTTACATTTTTATATTTGTAATTGTCAATTTATTATTAAAAAATATATTTTTTACATAGGTTATATTTGTATAGAATTGATGCAGGAAAAAAAGTGTGATTTTTATATTAATTATTAACAAGTGTAGTATGTGTAATTTCTACAACTATAGTTGAAAATAATGAATGTAGAAAGATATAATTCTAGAGTTGATGTCATTACGGTGCGTTCCTTTTTTCTAGAGCAGAAAGATATAATTTTAGAGTTAACAATAACTTTTATTATTTTTTTAGTACAAGAGAAGAATATATTAAATTTATTTTGATTTAAGTAGAAGAGAAAAATATATTTATATTTCATATATAAAGAATATGCACACAAAATTCAAAAAAATTTCATGAACAGTAAAAATTAAATATAAAAAAATCTCACAGTTAAAAATTATTTATATACTAAAATTATAGTTTATAATCACTGATGGTAAGTAATGGTTATTTTGTCAAATATTATTCAACAAATAATTTTTTGACCCAAACATAATTAAGAGGTAATTGAAATAATAAGTGAGGAAATAAAATAGACTAAAAATTACATTACATTTTATATTATATACATTATCATAAAATAATAAAATAAATTCAAATAATATTATATTGTTTTCTTTTACAATGCACATATATATACTAAAAAAGTTTACCGATATAATTGTCACAATGCATAACATTTATTTTATTGTTGTTTATATTGTTTTAAAATGAACATATTAAAGTTAAATAAAATAAACAAGTATTTATAAAATTAAATTAAAATTTATAATTTTAAATATCAGTAACAACAACTAAAACCTGCATAGAATCTTCGTAAAAATGGTTCTTTTAGACAAGAGGGTCTAAAGTCCTTCATGATTTTGATTCTCATGGGGTGCCACATTGCTGTCAGCAACAGCCATTGGCTAATACTTTAATCCACAAACAAATCTTTATATGCAGCCACGGGTTTGCTATTGATGGGTTATTGTTTTGCCAAATTAAATATCAATGACACCAAAAAACAATGAAACATTCACATGTGATTCTAAGCAAGATTTGAGTTCCATTTCTAATATTCAATAATACAACATTCACTTTGTTTTGTATAATAACTATTTTTTTAAACCTTAAAACCGTGTTCTTGAGTTACTTACTTCTACTATCAATTTAACTCATTTAAATGTTGTCTAAAAAATCGTACATTTATTTTCATTTTTTATTAAGAAAATAGTTTGTATTAAACTTTAAACCAACGAAATGGTGGAATCAAAATTAAGTTAGAAAAAAACGCATAAGCATTGTTTCTGTTCTGTATGTGAAAAACAAATCTATAAAAATAAAATAATATATTTAGTTACAAAAATTAAAAGAGAAGGAGAGAGAAACGTTACCTTTTCGCTCCAAATGAGACACAAATTTTCAACTTAATTCGCTGCTTTGCCACTCTCACTCACATCTCTTTCCTTCACTATCTCACTCTCTCGCCGCCGGAGCTCCATTTTCCGGCTCACCCTCGCCGGTGATATTTTTCCGGCGCCAGATTCACCCACCATGGTTTGATAGACAAGTTCGCATCTTTCAGAAAACCCAACTCGTTTTCATTCTCATCTTCGTTCTTCAGGCTTATCCTCTCTCTCTTTCCCTCAAACATGGATCTTCTTTTTCTTCTTCAGTGCCTTCTCTTCTTCACTTCGCATCACGCAAATGCCCTCAATGCTTCAATTTCTCGTGACGCATTGTCCCTTCTCTCTTTCAAACGCTTCGTCTCTTCCGACCCTTCCAACCTCCTCGCTGGTTGGACCAAGCAAACCTCCTCCAATATCTGCAGCTGGAGCGCCGTCGCGTGCGGCAGCGCCGGGATCCCCTCTGGCCTAGTCACCGCCCTCAACATTACCGGTCTCGGCGGCGGCCAGTTGTCGCCCTCTGTCGGCGACTTGTCCGAGCTCCGCGTCCTATCCCTCGCCGGAAACATGTTCTCCGGCGAGATTCCGGCTAGCGTAGGGAATCTCCGGTTTCTCGAGGTCCTCGAGCTGCAAGGGAACAACTTTTCAGGGACAGTCCCGACCCAGATGAGTTTTGCTTTTCTTCAGTCTCTTAAACTTGTTAACCTCTCTGGTAATGCCTTCTCTGGTTCGATTCCGAGTGGGATTATTGGCTCTGGGAGTGTGAAAATCGTTGATTTGTCGAATAATCAGTTTTCTGGTGTGATTCCTGTGAATGGTACTTGTGATTCGTTGAAGCATTTGAAGTTGTCTCATAACTTTTTGACTGGGGAGATTCCACCCCAAATTGGGAAATGTAGAAAATTGAGGACCCTTTTGGTCGATGGGAACATCTTGGAAGGTAGAATCCCTTCTGAGATTGGCCATATTGTTGAACTGAGAGTTCTGGATGTTTCTAGAAACTCCCTCACTGGAAGGATCCCCAAGGAGTTGGCTAATTGTGTGAAACTGTCTGTGCTTGTGCTTACTGATTTGTTTGAGGATCGTGATGAAAGAGGATTGGAGGATGGCTTTAGAGGAGAGTTTAATGCCTTTGCTGGGAACATACCTCATCAAGTGTTGCTGCTTTCAAGTCTAAGGGTGTTGTGGGCGCCAAGAGCGAATCTTGGTGGACGGTTGCCAAGTGGCTGGTCGGATTTGTGTTCTCTGAGGGTGCTCAATTTGGTGCAGAATTATGTTACCGGTGTCTTGCCTGAGAGTTTGGGGATGTGTAGGAATTTGAGTTTCTTGGACTTGAGCTCTAATAATTTGGTGGGGTATCTGCCTTCTTTGCAGCTTCATATTCCTTGTATGGTGTACTTTAATGTCAGCAGGAATAATATATCTGGCACTCTTAAAGGATTTAAGAAAGAAAGCTGTGGTGTGAGTGCACTAGACCCTTCATTCCTAGGATTGGATGGTTTTAGTGATGATGCATACTTTAATTTTCCTGTTTTGAGGTTTCAAAAGAATGCTTTCATTGGATCAGGTTTTAAGGATAATAACATTATTGTTGTTAGCCATGATTTCAGTTGGAATAGTTTTGTGGGATCCTTGCCTTTGTTCTCTCTTGGAGATAGCCTTCTTAATTCCAATCTTAAAGTCTCCTATGCACTGTCTCTCAATAATAATAGGTTCAATGGAACTCTACCATACCAGTTAGTTTCAAACTGTAATGACCTCAAGACATTGTCAGTTAACTTGAGTGTGAACCAACTATCGGGTGGGAATTTCCAAACATCGGTTTTGGAGTGCCTGAAGTTGACAGATTTTGAAGCAGCCTACAACCAGATTGATGGGTCAATTGGACCAGGTATAGGTAACTTGACGATGCTTCAGCATCTTGATTTAAGTGGGAACAAGCTATCTAGATCACTGCCTAATCAGTTGGGAAACCTACAAAACATGAAATGGATGCATCTGGGAGGAAACAATCTAACAGGAGAAATTCCTTCCCAACTTGGCCAATTGACTTCACTTGCTGTTTTGAATCTGTCTCACAATGCTCTAGTTGGTTCAATTCCTGCGAGTTTGTCAAATGCCAAAAGTTTTGAAACTCTGTTGGTGGACCACAACAAACTTTCTGGAGAAATACCTTCAGCTTTTTCTTCTCTTTCCAATCTTGTTCAGCTGGATGTTTCTTTTAACAATCTTTCTGGTCATATTCCTCGTCTTCGACACCCAAGTGACTGTGATTCCTATAAAGGAAATCCACACCTGCACCCTTGCCCTGATCCATATTCTGATTCACCTTCTTCTCTTCCAGTACCCCTTGAAATCCAGCATCATCATGCACATAGAGGGAGGAAATTAAGAACATTGGTTATTGCTGTGGTCACTTCTGCTACTGTGGTGCTCTGCACACTTCTGGGAATAGTATTGGTCATATTTTCTGGTAGGAGTAAATTTGGTCGGCTTAGCAGTATAAGAAGGCGACAGGTAGTGACCTTTCAAGATGTTCCAACTGAACTGAGTTATGACAGTGTGGCCACAGCCACTGGAAACTTCAGCATCCGGCATCTAATTGGCACAGGCGGCTTTGGGTCAACGTACAAGGCAGAACTGTCCCCAGGCTTTCTTGTTGCCATAAAGAGGTTGTCCATAGGTAGATTTCAAGGCATCCAACAGTTTGAAACTGAAATAAGGACACTAGGAAGAATTCGACATAAGAATCTTGTGACTCTTATTGGCTATTATGTAGGGAAGACTGAAATGTTCTTAATTTACAACTACCTTTCTGGTGGGAACCTTGAAGCTTTCATACATGATAGGTCAGGGAAAAATGTTCAGTGGCCAGTTATTTACAAAATAGCAAAAGACATAGCAGAGGCCCTTGCTTTCCTTCACTACTCCTGTGTTCCTCGCATTGTTCACCGGGATATCAAACCTAGCAACATTTTACTTGATGAATATCACAATGCCTACCTGTCAGATTTTGGCTTGGCACGACTGCTTGAGGTAACTGAGACCCATGCCACCACTGATGTTGCAGGCACATTTGGTTATGTAGCACCAGAATATGCCACCACTTGCAGGGTTTCTGACAAAGCAGATGTCTACAGCTTTGGTGTAGTGTTATTAGAATTGATGTCTGGAAGAAAGTCACTTGATCCATCTTTTTCTGAGTATGGAAATGGATTCAACATTGTACCATGGGCAGAGCTGCTAATGACCGAAGGCCGTTGTTCTGAGCTATTTTCTTCTACTTTGTGGGAAGCAGGGCCTAAGGAAAAAATGTTGGGGCTTTTAAAGCTTGCATTAACATGCACGGAAGAGACTCTTTCTATTCGACCATCAATGAAGCAGGTTCTTGAGAAATTGAAACATTTGAAAAATTGAAAGCTTTCTGCATGTCATGCTGAGCAGCAATGGAATGCTGCTTTTATCTGCTTCAAAATACTTGACTGAGGTGAGTTATCCAATTCTTTCATCATTCTAATGTTTGCTTGTGTTTGCATGGGATATAGCTAAAAATTCATTCTATATGATCCATATACGCATGGAACTTATTGGAAAAGATTAACCATTCACTTTCTTAGATCACTCTCATATTATGAGTCAGTAAAAATCCTGCATGGCAAACAGTTACATCAAACAGTGACATCAAATTTCCTCTATGATACTTACGTGCCGCTTCTTCTCTGATGAATATACACTTAATACATATCTGACAGTTTTTCTTGATTATTACACTGTTAAATTCCCAAATCTGATTTCAGTGTTTGATAATGGGCTGGTCCATGATACTCTCAAAAGTAAAGTTGAACACAAGTTTTAACAAGGAGAAAAATATAAATTGTGAATATTTTAATATACTGATCATATTAAACTTCAATTATTGATACAATTTTATACTTGCAAAATGTTACAGGTTCAGCAACTGCAAGGCTCTTATCATGATCAGTTGTTTATTGCCACTTGGAATCTCATCATAGTGGCTCACACATGAGCTGTTCCTGTTACTACCAAGGCTATGATCATCCTTTCACATTTCTGCCAGCAGTTGTCACACCATCTGAAGATGTGTGCAGGAATGGCTGGATGGATGTTTCTATGAGTCCATATGTGCATGCCATGATGATTTTTTTGACATTTTGGATGGTTTCCTTAGGTGACAGCATGGCCCCTCTGGAAGATCCAAAGTTATTTAATGGCATAAAGGGACGAAATTGTCATCATTCTTCAGAGAAATGCCAAAAGTTCCAAGTCACTTCTCTGTCAAAATCTACCCAAAGGTGTAAATATATTTTGAGATAAAACCTATTAGGATGTTTTTGATGTTTTGTTCCAACATAAAAATATAAAGTAGGCAGAAAAACAATTTTCCAACTCTACTGTTTTTTTCTTCACAGATGCCTAAGTGAAAAGATGCTGTTACTGCCTTTTTTTTAGGATAAATTATTCATAATATATTTGTGAGACATTATAAATTTATTTCTTGAAAAAAATTGATTTAGTATCTAAATATGTGTAAAGTGTCTTGCCATTATGTTAGGATTATTGTATTTATGAGAGACCTTTGCACATCTTATGATAAATATTTTTTTGAAAAAGAAAAAGTTGAATAATTTGTAACTTGTGATATGAAAAAAAAAATCATGGAATCAAAGACTTTGGGATGGTATTGTTATCAAATGAATAATGCACCAGAAGGGTTGGAGAAAGGAATTGTTTATTGTTCACTCATCATTGCAATTTGCAGGCCACTTTGAATACTAACCATAGGAACTACTAGAAGCAAAATATGGCCTAAAACTTGTAGAATGTCACAATTAGTGGACAAATTTTGATGACTCTTGGATGAATGAATAATCCATACCATGTTATCTATTCAACAATCTTTTTAATATTCTGTTTGACTCCTGAACAAGTACTTGCTACTTTAATGGAAACTCTTAAAAGAGAAAAAAAGAAAAACAAATATCCTAATTATATTCCTTAATAATGAAACAGTCATTTCTTTGTTTCACAAGGTTTATGATATTAATTTATTTATTAATTTTATTATTGATGAAATGTATTTAATTTATCCCATAAAACTAATTCATGAGGTTTTTATCTTATTTATAAAATGTAATGTTCATATGAAATTTTATTATATTCTTGATTTTTAATAGTCCTTATTCTAATATCATATTAAAAATTAAGATTTATTTAATTTAATCTTACACAACTGAATTAATATATCTCGAGAATTCTATCCCATTTATATATTATAGTATGATCCATATATAATATGAAATCTTTACTCACATTTTTATCACATTTCTTGTTTAACCCGAGATTTTTCATTATATTCATATCATACAAATTTTGTTTTATTGCGAATTTTTCAGTGACATTTGTATAATTAATTAATTTTCAGTGTTATTTGGATTTCATTAAAAATCATGGAAGATAACGTGCTTTTGAATGTACAGTGGCTGAAAACCAAACACAGTCTATCCTCCACACATATTGGACTGATTCCTTGGTGGATATAGAAGGATAGTAGGTACCATGTTTTCAACAAAAGCACTGAAGAAGAAGATGATGATGTGATATGTTAAAAGCCTTCACAATAACATTTGTTTCATGGTAATGATGGAGTTACCATAATATGTATGTTACTAAGGTTCCCTTAACTATCCACAATTTGAAGGTTGACTTCGAAAAAAAGAAAGTAATAAATTAAATAATAGTGGAAAACTCAAAACTACTAAATTAATTTATATAAATTATTATTTTTATTTAAAATTATGAATGTTTTTTTGTCAATTTTAAACTCTTATTATTTTTCCTTAATGATCAAATATTTCATTAAAAATTATAATAAATGGTATAGTATTAAGAGAGGAATTTTGATAAAATAAGCCTTATAATATTAAAGGGTTTGCAATGCGAGAAATTTTATTAAACTATTATATACGGAACTAAAAAGAAATAAGTTATTGGGTCAAATTATTTTATGCATGAAAAGAACTTTTTAAATATATAACTTTCCACAATTTCGTCATAAGGTCTTTTAAAGAGAAAAAATAAAATACATTTTTTTATAAATTAAAATTAGTTTTAATATAATTTAGTTTTCTGAAAATTCTATTATATATATTTTTAAATTTTCATAAAACTCAATTTATTAAAAATAATAAAAAACTCTAAATTTCTATGAGCACATTTTTGGATATTTTTAATTTTAAAATATATTTTTTATGACTATTATAATGCTTATTATTATTATTATTATTATTATTATTATTATTATTATTATTCTGACATTATTGAAACTTTCAAAATTCAATAAAACTATTTCAACTCAAATTTTGCTAAACAAAATTTATTTTAAAAATCTAAAAGTCAATACACGAGAACTCAAATATTATATAATTTATTACACTAGGTTACAACATACAAGAGTGTGTTTAAGAAGAAAAAAAACACACTATTAGATAGAAATGGTTAAACTTGTATTTTGAGACATAACCCAAAGTTAAATATGTTTTAAAATACAAGACTCGATATCAATTACTATATTATTTGTATTCGGAATAAACAAAATCTTATTGGAGTCTTAAGCTTTTATTATTATGGTATATTATTTAATGTTATTTGTCGTATTATTAATTATTATTTTGTTTTCTTCTTGCCATTTATAAGGATAGGTCTCATTGCAAAAGTTAAACCAAGATTTAGATTAAAATAATAAAAAATTATCAAGAACCATCCAAATGAAACTACATTATTTTAAGAAAGTTGGTGAAATAAATTAAATAACATTTAATGAGTTATCTTAAAAAACATGAACATTGCCTATTCAATATGACGTTTAAATTGTAATATATAGTAAAAATGACGGTCTAAGATCACTTAAATAAAATTAATTGATGGTCGAATTTAAGTTTAAAATATATTATAATTTTTAGTCTAATTTAATTTTATATTAGATTAATAGATTAAAAATAATAATAATAAAAATGTGTTTATAATAAAATAATTAATTAAAAAATATTTAAAAATAAATAAATATTTTAAAATTTAAATTATATTAATAAAATTATTAATATAAAAATATAAGAGAATAAATTTATCTAATTTTAACGTAAGTGTTAAAAATTTATTTTTTGTTATTATTATTTTTATTTTAATAATTTATTAATCTAAAATAATAATTAATATTAATAATTAAATATTAAAATAAATAATTGTTAAAAATTTACTCTCATATTTATATCAAGAACAAATAAATTTCTTATTAAATATATATATATATTTAATAAAATAATATTTTTATTTTTATAAAAAAAATAATTATTATTTTATGACGAATCAACCCATAAACCTACTTATTAATATGTCCTAAATCCATATTAAACTGGTTATGCCAAAGTAAATTTTATTCAATTTAAGTTATAATTTTTTTTTATTTTAACTTTTCGGATCACTAAATTTATTTTAACACTCTCAATAATTTGGTCATAATAAATAAGTGGTGCACACATAAATCGGCATTAACAATTTTGAAAGAACTTTTCATGTTTCTAAAATCCACCATCAATGATGGTCAACTATAACTGTCACAGAAAGTTGAGACAATACACCACCAGTCTTGGTCATGCTGACCCACAAGTCCACAACTTATTCAACATTTAATCAGTGTTGGGGTAACATATCAACATCCACTGGTAATTAACACTAAATTACATGTAAAAGCTTGGAAACATTGTAATTGAGTGTGCTTCAGAATAAGGGACTAGGGGTTATTAACACAAACTCTTGGGAAAAGAATGAAGTATAAGAGTACACATTGACATAGACTTACAAGAAAAATACACAAGATTGCACAGAAAGCAAACACTAACTTCCATCCAAGAGATGGGACATCAATCTAGGATTGTGTAAAGGAAAATTCTAAGGATTTTATCATTATCAACTAACACAAACATGTACATGAGACAGAAAAGCACCTTTTGAAATCACCATCAAGGAGACATGTTTCCCTGTCTTGCCTTAAGGACAAGCTCCTCAGTGGTGGTGCCAATGATTTCGTTAGCCCGTTTAAGCCCAACACATTGATACCGACCAACAGAATCCTGAATCACATGGTAAATTTCCAGTCAGTAAAGAAATCGAAATCTTCAGAGAAATTTTTAGGGTCACAATGATTGAAAATAATCTTCTAGTAATCATACTGGCATATCATTACATCAATCCAAAGAGATATATACATACTATGGGATAAAATCTAGTCTTTTACTGAAGATAGTAACACAAAGCAAACCAAGAAAAAAAAAAGTGAGTTTCAATTTTAGTTGATGCTCTTATTCAGGCTGAATATATATTAAACTCAATAAAATGATAGAGTTCAAGAATGAACCCTAATTGGAAACAAGGCACGAAATTCAACCATTATTCTTAAACGTCTTCTAGACAAAAAATTTGACAAAAGTTTAGTCGACAAGTTTATTTGTACCGCAATAAAGGAAAAACCTCACATGATCTTTAAGTCTACCTTTTATTTTGAAGAACAGATGAACTTTCCTACAACTGTTAACAAACTCAACTCACTTTCAAATGTAATTGTAGAGAGATAAAATTATGAGATACAAAAGATATGTGAAAAAATGGAAATAATAAAACCAAATTAATGGGGACAAAAAGGTTAATTTTCCTTTAAAGAGATATAGTATTATATAATATACTAATCACTGGAGGATATTTGAAAGGGAATATTTTGAGAAATCTCACCCGAGTAACAATGCCCAATTTCTCTAATTTCTCAACAGCATCATCCACATCAAAATTACATTCCTCGCCAAACTCTTCTTTGATTAGTTCTTCACACCATTGATCAAGATCCTGATTCATATTACCAAACAGGGTAATATAAGTACTAAGACAGCAATAATATAAATGTTGCTCTTCTAAGTATATAATAGAACTTCCAAATTAAAAAAGGTGGCATAGAGAACAAAAGAACAAGATTGCTAAAATGTTATGTTCATGTATGTACCTGTCTTGTAGCTTTGCCCTGCTCCATCAGAATAAAGAATGAAACTATTACCTCTTTGACCTACACATTAAAGAATTACCCATTGGTAGCTATTAGTTATATGTTTGCCTGTGCATAATTACATGCTTAGATTTCAAATGCGACCCAAACTCTTACTAGTAGCACGTAGCAACTCGAATCTATAAAATGATCTTCCAACAATCTAATAACTTGATTATCAGACATACAGTAGTAGCATAATCTTAAAAGCCCAAATAAAATGATGCGACCAAATTAAGTTCTCAGATACAAGCGCACTTTCAAAATCTTCGAACTTTTCTTTCCTAAATTATTACACTTCTAATAAATGAGTTGCAAACTGGAGAATTTGAGAAGTAAAAGCGAACATATTGTTTGCTCGTCTTCCAAAAAGTATCACCATTTTTCACTCTGTATGGGAACAGTAACTTGCGTGACCCCAGTTAGATTTAGGGGTCCTCACAGGCTGGATTGGGTCAATTTTGGCTAAACCTTTTACCTAACCCAATTAAAATTGTCCAGATAGGGTTTGTGTGATTTTATAGTCAAACACAATGTAACAGTAAAACTAGGAGAGGAAGAGACCCTCGAAGAACTACCACAAAATGTAGGGAATCCAAATTCTAGAATGGAAACTAAACGTGAATATTAATGAGACATTGCAGATTACAAGAATTGTTTTCTCTCCAAAAATTACCCTCCTCTGTGCACGACGAGCTATTTATTCTTCTTTCTAACCGTCTAACAAACTACTACTTATAAGTCTTTGTAATTACAATTTAGTCCAACAATTTCTTTTATTTAAAGTACTGCATCAATCCCTCCCACTCAAGCAAATCCTTGTCCTCAAGGATTAAAATCTGGAAACTTTTTCTAAAGATAAAAAAAGAATTCCCACATGGCCTCCTCGGGTAATTGGTGCTTCGACTTGACCAGCACCTTAGTTACCGCTTGATTTCCCCTTTTGACCGTCATTCTGTCCAAGATAGCTTCAGGCTCTTTAATTGCTGCTTCTCCATCAGTGATGGGACAATGGCCAAAAGCGGTTGCTTCATCTACAAATTTCTTGAGTTGCGAGACATGGAAAACATTGTGAATGAATGAATCAGTAGGAAGCTGAACCTTATAGGCCACTTCCCCAATCTTATCCATAACTGGATAAGGTCCATAATACTTAGGAGCTAGTTTGGCATTATTTCCAAAAGCCACCAATACCTGCCTATAAGATGTAGTTTGACAAAAACCAAATCACCAATGTCAAATGACCTCTCAGATCTGTGCTTTTCAGTTAACTGTTTCATTCTCTCTTGAGCTCGTTTCATGTGAAATTTGACTAGCTTTAGTTGTTCCTCTCTTTTCTGCAAACTCCTATCAACAAGTTCAATCTTAGACTCTCCTGGCAGATATGGTAAGTAAGCTGTTGGAAGTTGACCATAGACAATTTCATATGGGCTGACTTTGATAACACTGTGGTAGGTAGTATTGTACCACCATTCCGCCAAAGGAAGCCATTTTGACCACTGCTTTGGATCATCCGAACACATACATCTCAAGTATGTTTCAATGCGTCTGTTCCCTATTTTTGTCTGACCATCTGTTTGAGGATGGTAAGTTGTAGAGAGCTGCACCTGAACTCCTTGGTAAGCCATGAATTCTTTCCAAAATCTGCTAACAAAAATGGGATCTCTGTCCGATGTGATGGAGGCTGGAAACCCATGTAATTTGAAGATGTTATCCATGAAGCATTGAGTCACATCCGCAGCAGTGTATGGATGTTGCAAGGCTATGAAATGAGCAGCTTTGCTCAATCTATCCACTACTACAAATATAACTCGTTTACCATAAGATTAGGAAGACCTTTCGATGAAATCCATAGTAATGTGTTGTCAAACTAGGTCCGGAACAGGTAGCGGTTAGAGTAAACCAGGGGAAGCAGCATTATCATATTTGCATTTCTGACATGTACTACACTGATGAACAAATCTTTTAACCTCCTTAGTCATTCCCTTCCAATGTACTACGGCCTTTCCTCTTTGGAGAGTAGCATCTCTCCCTGAATGACCTCCATAAGTTGTAGAGTGCAACCAGGTGAGAATCAATTTTCTTAACTCCTAATCCTTGCCAATCACCAGCCTTCCTTTCCTTCTGAGTTCCCTTCTTACCCAACTATAGTGCATATGAGACAAAGGATCTTGCTGTAGTTGTACAATGAGCTTCTGTAGGTCTGCATCAGCTAGCCACGATGCTTTGATCCTGTCTATGAGATCTGAATCAGGTTGGTGAACCACCAGAGCATCACATTGCACCCTAGAAAGTGCATCAGCAGCCATTTTTGTTGGAATGTTGTTGAGAACCTTTGCTCCAAGATGTACTTAAGGTTTCTATGATCAGTCTTAATTACAAACTGTTTGTGAAGCAAGTAATGCCGCCATTTCTGGACCGCAAACACCACCGCGAGTAATTCTTTTTCATATGCTGACAGGGCTTATTGCTACTGACTTAAACTTCTGCTGATAAATGTTATGGGACGATGATCCTGCATTAGCACCGCTCCCACTCCCAAACCGGAAGCATCAACCTCTACCACAAAAACTTTAGAGAAATCCGGTAAGGCCAAAACTGGTGCTTGACTCAATTTATCTTTGAGGAATTGAAAAGCAAGCTTTGCCTCCTAAGACCAACAAAAAATGTCCTTCTTCAACATATCTGTGAGAGGCTTAGCTATGGTGCCATATCTGCTCACAAACCTTCTGTAGTACCCTGCTAATCCAAGAAAACCCCTTAATTGCCTTAATGATTGAGGTAATGGTCATTGCCTCACCACTGCGACTTTTGTAGGATATGTGAAAATTCCTTCACTAGTTATAAAGTGTCCCAAGTATTCCACTCTATTAACCCCAAAGTAACATTTAGACGTCTTAGCATATAAAGCATTAGACCTCATAACAAGTAAGACCCGATGCAGATGAATCAAGTGATCTTCCATGCTTTTACTATAGATTAGGATATCATAAAAAAATACCAAAATAAATTTCCTCAAAAATTCGTGAAACACGGTGTTCATCAATGCTTGAAATGTTGCAAGGGCATTAGTCAAGCCAAATGGCATGACTAGATACTCATAATGTCCTGCATGTGTTTTGAAAGCAGTTTTATAGACATCCTCATCCGCCATTCGTACCTGATTATATCCGAATCGTAAATCGATTTTAGAGAAGATAGTTGAACCACATAATTCATCTAACAAATCTTCTACCAATGGAATAGGGAATCAATTCTTAATAGTAGTTTTATTCAAGTCTCGGTAATCAACACAAAGCCTCCAACTACCATCTTTTTTTGCCAACTAACACCACCGGGCTAGAGTATGGACTACTGCTATTTTGAATGATACCGGACTTTAGGAAATCCTGGATTAACCCATCTATAATGTCTTTCTGCTGTTTGCATATTGGTAAGGTCTCTTGTTGACTGGGTTAGCTCCTTGCACTAAGGTAATCTAGTGATCATGACTCACTCTTCATGGAGGCAACCCTGCCGATTCCTGAAAAAGATCAGTAAATGACTCCAATAACTCTTCAATGCTGCTATGAATCAAGGTTTGTTCTGCATGAGTAGACAACGAATTAAGCAACACATCACTCTCTGTATGACATTGCAACATCGATAAATGAACCCCCGACGATAAGGTTTTATGGAACTATTGTTTCTTAATGGTCTTGAGTCCAATGCGGGAGGCCCCTCTCAGCACCTGTCTTATACCATTCACAGAAAACTCCATTGTCAATTTGTCAAAATTCCAGGTTATATCACCTAGAGTCACCAGCCACTCAATACCAAGCACCACGTCACAACAACCAAGCGGTAACATCATATCGGACTGAAAAGAAATATTCTGCAAATACCAATGAAAAGCCTTAACAATAGAAGAAAGCTGAACTTTAGTTTCATCCGCTACAATCACGTTCAATGGAACCATCTTTTCTATTTTGCAGCCTAACTTCCTAGCTAAATACATATCTAGGAAGTTATGAGTGCTCCCACTATCAATCAATATGTGTAGAGGGTTCTTCTTGAACCGGCCAGTCACACGCATTGTTCTAAAATTCGTTAATCCCATCAAAGCATTCACAGAAATCAAAGGGTCCATTGTTTCATCCATGCCACTGTTCTGACCAGCACACTGCTCTGCTTCATAATGCGATCCTTCCTCCAACTCCATGACATGAATTTACAATTTCTTATGTGTCAAACTAAAGGCTCATAACAAAAATAACACAAACCTTTGCTCCTCCTCTCACTCATATATATCGGTGTTAAGTTTTTTGTGACTTGTGTATGAGGCGTGGATTTGTCAACTTGGTTGGATGGTGTTGGTAACAACGGGGTTTTTACTGAGTTTGAGCGGTTTGGAAAATGATTTATGTGGAGAAGAGTTAGTGCTTGCAAACTTGTACATTTTGGCTAATGAAAATGCCGTCATGACAGTGGTTGGTTGAAACATCCTTACCATCATTTGCATATCCTATTTCATACCGCCAAGAAAACAACTAAGCCAATGTGATGAAGACAAATCAACTCTAGATAATTGCATCAAATTCTTCATGATATTCTGTGATAGAGCCTTTCTGCCGAAGTTGCATCAACTTAGCCATGGGATCATCACAGATTTCACCAAAACGGTCCAATAGAATACGTGTATATTCTTCCCACAAAGGTAAATTATTCAACCCTATAGTTTTGACATATGCACTATGCCACTAAAGCGCCTTTCCTTCAAAATGCACCACCACGAGCCTAACCTTGTAATCGTTAGGTGTTTGATCAATGGAAAAAAAACGTCTCAAATTGAATTATCCAATTCTTGACATTGTCACCATTAAATCGAGGGAAATCCAAATGAGCCAATCGTGTATGACAAGAATAGAGCCTATTATTGTTACCCAAATCTGCAAAGTTTTGGTTTTCATATCGCTGAAACATTTCTTAGAGTTGTCGCTGTAGAGAAG